ATGAATACTTTGAACAAAGGCAAAATGTTAATAGGTAAGAATGTGTATCTCCAACTGATTGAATATTTAATTAACTTTTCAAATTCTTATTTTGTCGCTTTAGTAGAATACAAGCAGAACCCAAGCTATTACCTCAAGTTGAAGAGGTAACCTATGCCGAACCGGTTCTATTGCCACAGCCACCACCAAAAATGCATTCGCCTAAGAGTACTTTACGTAAACCCATGCCACCTCATCATGGACCCAACTCAGAAACGTTCTTCCAATTCCAGCCAGATGGTTATAATACCCAACAATCATATCGTTGTCGTGATAATTTTGGTACTTTAAGATCTCATCAAGTTATGGTAAGATAATACAATAACGGTTTAACAATTATGCTAATCTATGTTTATCTTCTTAATTAGGGTGATAACTATCGTCGTGGTGATGGCTTTTCCACCACTCGCAGTGTCAAGAAGGTGAGTTCAATTCAATAGATATTACAAGAATTATCTACATTGCCATTATAATATCACTATATCTGTGTGTGGTTTTTTATTTATTTTTTTTATTATATATTTTAAAATAAGAAAAAGTATAATTTTTTATTTTCTTCATAAATATTTTTTTATTTAAAAATTATATATTTTTGAAGCCTGATCTTTGTCGTCGATTGGTGTATTATTTTTTAACATTAATCATATGTGAACTTGTAGCTAAAACTATTTGATGTCATATTCACGTATAATTGTTGTAACAAATAACTGAATAACGTCTAGAATATATATAAATGTTCAATGTGTAGCATTTGAATTTATTTCGCATGAAATCTAACATTTTTTCCCATTAAGAATACTTTTGAAATATGAAGGATTAACACAAAAAATAACTTAATTACTTTTTCATTAACAAAGCTATCTTCTTTTTTTTCTATAACCGATATTGTTTTGTTGTGCTGTCTGTCTGTCTATCTTTCTCTCTTTTTACGATCAAGCTGAGAATTGTAGTGTATTTATTTACTAATCTAATAATATACAAAATTGATGGCACACTGTTCGTCATCTGAAATATTTTTAACATTACAAACTATTTTTCGTTATTGCAATCGTATTTATGAAACTATATATGCTGTTTAATAAAAACCATATTAAAAAAAATTGAGCTGTATATAAATTCTCTGCAATTTAACGATTATTTCATGTGGTTATTTCGACGGTGCAAGGACATAATTAAACCACCTCAATGAGGACATCTATTATCCCCATTACCTGGACCAATTTTCTCACCATTAATCATGTATAACCAAGGATTTATAATTTTAAAGTCGACTTTTGCGTTCGACTGGGTATACCTACATTAGATGTTGTCTTAGTATCATATCAATAAAATTATTAGACTTCATATACTTTTTATTCAAATTTATTTTCAAAATATAATATAATTTTCAAAATATAATACGCAAATTTTAAAAAAAGTTATAAAACAATTAACCTTATTTCTTATGTCGATTAAAAGGTCATCGATTCCAAAACTGGGAATTGAATATAAAACATACAAATTGTTGTTTCTAAAAACAGTCTTCTTCCCAATTTAAAAACAATAATGTTCTCCGTCGACATATCTAACATATCTTTTTATGAAAATGTTTAATTTTTCAAACCATGAATGGTTTGAAACACATTTGGCACCACTGGCCAATAATGAGACGCATTTAAGTTATTTGGACGAGTTTTTCAAAGATTGTAGTTTATTTGATTGTTATATCTTCCGATCATACCATTCCGATCATACATTGTCCTAATTAAGTACTTTTATATAGATCCACTTTATAAATTAAAATAATAATCAAAGGTTTTAAAATGAATTATACCGATTTCAAATCTTTACAATTTTCTACCGGCGGGCAAATGAATGTGCATTATATTAAAGACTTTTAACCTTGCAATTATACATTTAAAGAAAGTTTATTCAGATGCTTTTATTGTTGTTTTTGTTTTTTAGTTTTAATTAAATCTCGCCAAAGAATCCATCATTCAAAAGAGCTCAAAGAATCTTAAAACAACACCGTTTATAAGAAAATCAGAAAAACTATCTCGCCAAAGAAAAAACTATATTCGAATCTCTCCGAGGAAATATTCTGCCGTTTATTTGATATCGTTTATAACGGTTTCTTGTCCGTCTTTATAACGATTTCTACTGTAGAATTTTTAACTTCGCACAAAAATTAACAAAATGGCGGACCTATCAAATTCGATTTTTGGAAAAGCCACTATTTTGGACCGCAAACCGAGTTAGAAAATATAGATGAGATCTTAAACGATTACATTTATCCTAATTCACACGTTCTGTTTAAGCTGCTTTCTTGTCGTCGCTTGATGCTGGCACAATAATTTAGCTATATCTTTAAGAAGAGTTAATATTTTCACATGACATTTTAAAGTGACTGTCGAATTTAGTGTAGTGAATTAAAAGTAAAATCTGAACAATCAATTTGAGAGGCAATCCCCAAACAAAGCTATCTGTGACCTATTTTTTAAACATGATATCCATTTAAAAATATTTATACAGGGGTCAATATGAATTAATTTACTTAGCCCAGCAAAGGCATTGCTTAAAATCTGCTTAAAACAATTTTGGAATACCACTTTATTTTGCAATTGCTCTATATTTAAGAAATAAAATTAGACACAGAGATGGTTCGTCAGAAACAGTGACGTAAATGATATACATTTCCGAAGTTTATAACAAAGCTTATATTTCCATTAATGAATATCGAAAATACAAATGCTTTAATGAAATTCATTTCAAATTTAAAAATTTAATTCTCAAAATGGTTTGGAATTTTGTCTCAGGACAATAAGAAGGGTATAATCAGAAATATGTAAAAATATTATATATTCATGAAAATAACTGTATCTGGCGTGATGACGTGAGATGACGTTTACTGCATGTATTACATTTTGTACAGGAATATGGTCTTTGCGACGTTTACAACATTTTGACAGTCGAAACATTAAACATTCCTTAAACGACCCCCCCTGTTAGACACGTAATCATGGTTTGTACATAGAACCATGTTTCCATGGCACATTTTTCCCCGATTATGTTTGATCATACTTCTAATTTTCCTAGAATTAGTTAAAACCGGAGAGGATTTGTTATTAACATGTCAAGTTAATTAAAAATTAGACATGTTGTATTCATCTTAAAACAATGTAATTTGGATTTATACATAATATATAATATAGAACTAAATCTCTCCAATATATTTAAATAGTGTGCTAAATTAAATAGCAGAAATATAAGTGCTTATAAAAATACATATATAATAATTTTATATTAATTTTAGTCTGGCAGTTGTTAGTCACTTTTTTTAATTGAGACGAATTAAACCTTTTTTGTTATTTTAAAATTGGAAAACTAACTAGTTTTTTTTAATTGTGATCACATTGAAATGCAGGGAAGATTATAGTTATGGATTTCACAGTTTTTTACTTTTTGCTTTTAGGATATTCTCTCGGTGAGTCATTTATGATTCCACTTAATTTTTTACCTCCATAATCAGTTTCACATGAAATTTTATAACAAAGAACAGGACTGTCTTCTTTAAATTAAAGAGTTTGTAAAATGTTAAAACAGAAGGTAGATTTCCGATAACTCTGGTTCCAAATATTTATTTGAGAAATCGAAGCCAAAAGTTAAAAACTCCGTTTTTTAATGGAGTTTACTGGGTATGTTCAAGGGTGCCCCACTTGTGGTATTTTACGGAAATTTATAATAACTTTTTTTGTAGGAAATATATAGGAAAGAAAATACATTAGTTATGTTTTAAATGATTGTTGGAATGCAAAAAAATTGTTTAACAAAAGAAAACTATCACTAAATTCTTCCTGCGTCCTTACAACCAAAAAATGAAAAGTTTACAATTGCAGTGCGAAAACATAGTCACTCATGTAAATTTTGTCGATAATTGAAAAAGCTAGCCAAAATGGTTTACCCAGATAAAGAACAAGAAAGGCATATAAAAGAATTTGGTTGCGGGTCGGAAAAAGTCTAAACCGAGATTTTAAGAGCGCTGTCAAAGGTGCCCCCCTCTCCCCTACTTAAAACCACTATACCGATGATCTAGCAAATTTTACTTGAAATATCCTTTATTCTAATGGAATCCTTTATTATTCTATTCAGCAAAAAACAACTTCTACCAAAATTTTGCTATTTCAAAAAAAAACCAAGATCAGGTACTCCCATATTACGGTTGGAGTTGTCGTAGTGTTTTTTTTTTTTTTGTAATACTCTAAGAATTTTTTTTCTTTAATTGTACTTAAATACGTGAAGTAATGGCAAATATTTCAAAGACCATAAATACATACATAATGACTATAAGAGCAGTCCATAATGTGGACATTGTATAATTAGTTATATGATGCATTCTGCACAATTTGCCATTAAAAATTAATTTCCTGATAATGTGAATTCTTATGAATAATATATAAATAATATAATAAGAGGTTAATCGTATTGTAGCGACATTCATAATACCGATTTGTTATAAAAATGCGATAGTACACTACTTTCCATATGACAACAGTAATAAGTGTAAATATTCATGAATAATGATTCGATAACAGTTTGGGCGAATATGTAAGCAATTATCGTTATTCCACTGATCATATATTGTTATATATAACATTTCCAATATAGCATTTTTTAAGTTATCTGTGAATTTTAACTTGAATTTTATTATTTTATAGTTCGTGAAAATATTGCAAAGGCAATTGTTTGATATTTAATGCATTGCAATCAATTCTGTATAAAAAATAATTTTATTTTATTACAATTAGAATTTCCAATAAATCTGATGTTATTGACAATTTTCTCGTACACAACGCAATAATAAATAAGGCACCACTTTCACATATGCATATCTTTTGATTTTAAGATAATGAAACCAAAATATAATTCTTCACTAACACAACAAATTCAATAATTTTCTGTATAAAGTCTATTACCACTCTCTCTCATAATTCTTTAACAAAAATATAATAAGTACTAAAATATAATTGTATAAAAATATAACTTCAAGTTGGTTTAATTGCGAGATACTTCGACTCCCAGTGTGAAATTTATCTATGTGAATATTGTACATATAAATGTTGTATTGGGCTGGAAATGAGATTTTCAATATCAATGGTTTAGCAAATGCTGCAATAATAGACGTGTATCCAAAACTTATGTAAATAAATATTTCTGCTATCCAAATTTGTCCATGTATTAAAAAAAAGCTTACTAATAACACGAAGTAACGAAAAAAATACACCAATCGATTTCACAAAATTGTCAGTGAATTCTTTTCATTTTAAAGCCTTTTTGTCAAAATTGTTACTTTTTTATTTCGTTCTTTAATTATTTGTGTTACACACAATAGAAATACGAAGCAGAAGAACAACAACAACTCTATACTATCTTTCTACTTTTTTCT